GGTGATATTGTGGAATTGCATGTAGGAGATAAAGTGCCTGCAGACATGAGAGTTGCGGCTTTGAAAACCTCAACATTGAGAGTTGAACAAAGCTCTTTAACCGGAGAAGCAATGCCTGTTTTGAAAGGCACAAATCCTATTTTCATGGATGACTGTGAGTTGCAGGCCAAAGAAAATATGGTTTTTGCAGGCACCACTGTTGTCAATGGGAGCTGTCTCTGTATTGTTATCACCACTGGGATGAACACTGAAATTGGGAAGATACAGAAGCAAATTCATGATGCTTCCTTGGAGGATAGTGACACCCCCTTAAAGAAGAAGCTGGATGAGTTTGGTGGGCAGCTTACGGCTGCAATTGGGCTGGTCTGCCTTGCTGTGTGGGTTATAAACTACAAAAATTTCCTTTCTTGGGAGCTTGTGGATGGATGGCCTTCAAACATCAAATTTTCTTTTGAGAAGTGCACCTATTATTTTAAAATTGCTGTCGCCCTGGCTGTAGCTGCAATCCCTGAGGGCCTTCCCACTGTCATCACAACTTGTTTAGCCCTTGGTACAAGGAAGATGGCACAAAAGAATGCAATTGTGCGAAAGCTCCCAAGTGTAGAAACTCTGGGATGCACAACCGTTATTTGTTCTGATAAAACTGGTACTTTGACAACAAATCAGATGTCTGTGACAGAGTTCTTTACTTTGGGAGGAAAAACCACTGCTTCTCGAGTCATCCGTGTTGAAGGCTCAACTTATGATCCTAGAGATGGGGGAATCGTGGATTGGACTTGCTATACCATGGACGCCAACTTGCAGGCCATGGCAGAAATATGTGCCATTTGTAATGATGCTGGGATTCATTTTGATGGTCGCCTTTTCCGGGCTACAGGTTTGCCCACTGAAGCAGCTCTTAAGGTTTTGGTTGAGAAGATGGGAGTCCCAGATAACAAGGCAAGGAACAGAATTCGGGATACAGAAGTTGCTGCTAGCTACCTGATTGATAGCAACACTGTTAAGTTAGGTGAGCAAGTGGACTTTATAGATGAGATGGACTGTGAAGGTGCCTCAGAATAACAATTTGATATTTTGTTTTGCTTGTGCAGGAAGTTGTGAGTGGTGGACAAGAAGATCCAAAAGAGTTGCCACATTGGAGTTTGATCGAATTAGGAAGTCAATGAGTGTTATTGTTCGTGAACCAACTGGGCGAAATCGGCTTCTGGTTAAGGTGACTTGACCCAACTTTATCTTCATATTGTTTTTTTAAGAGGTGGGAGCATAGGTCTGAAGCTCTCCCCCCCGCCCCACCCCCACCCAAAGAAGGGGGGAAAAAGAAAGAAAGAAATTTCATTTCTTTTGTTTTTTTTGTCAAGGTCAAATTTCTCTCTAATTTGTTTATCTTTCCTGCATCCAGACACGTTCTGGATATAAATTGGCAGTTATTTTGATATCCCTCGTTCCATAACTGTAACATATTTGATGCCTAATCTCATCTTTTGCTGCCATTAAAGCTGTTAAGTGATTTTACTTGTGTTGCAGGGAGCTGTTGAGAGTTTACTTGAACGTAGTTCACATGTGCAACTGGCTGACGGATCCCTGGTTCCAATTGATGAGCAATGCAGAGAACTACTGTTTTCAAGACTCCTGGAGATGAGTTCAAAAGGATTGCGGTGCCTGGGTTTGGCATATAAGGATGACTTGGGTGAATTTTCGGACTACTATGCTGAAAATCATCCTGCTCACAAGAAATTGCTTGATCCTACTTGCTACGCATCCATTGAAAGTGATCTAGTATTTGTTGGTGTTGTTGGTCTAAGGGTAAGTTCACGCCTTAGTTTTTTTCCAGTCTGTCATACAGCTTCTTTGGAGTATGTTTAATATATTACTACATTTATCAGGATCCTCCTCGTGAGGAAGTTCATAGGGCAATCGAGGATTGCAGGGAAGCTGGTATTAGAGTTATGGTGATAACTGGAGATAACAAGTCCACCGCAGAAGCTATTTGTCGGGAAATTAATCTGTTCTCCAGATATGAGGATCTTGCAGAGAGAAGTCTGACAGGCAAGGAGTTCATCTCTCTTTCTCCTTCTGAAAGAGTTAAAATGTTGTCAAGACCTGGAAGCAAGGTATTCTCTCGGGCTGAGCCAAGACACAAGCAAGAGATTGTGAGGTTACTGAAGGAGATGGGAGAGATTGTTGCAATGACTGGAGATGGTGTGAATGATGCTCCAGCTCTTAAACTTGCTGACATAGGGATCGCCATGGGCATAACTGGAACTGAGGTAAAGTTGAAATATATTTGTCTACATCTTAGACACATTGTGTGTTTTAGCACTAGAAATTAAAGTTACTGTTTGGGAGTTAATGCACCCGAGAAGTGCTTGTACTTTCATTCTGCTCTGACTATCTTTAATGTTTGCATAATATTGCAGGTTGCAAAAGAAGCTTCAGATATGGTGCTTGCAGATGACAACTTTAATAGCATTGTTTCAGCTGTTTCTGAGGGTCGCTCTATTTACAATAACATGAAAGCCTTTATTAGGTATGCTTCTTTCGAAAAACCAATCATGATTAGATATATAAACATGTAATGCACACTTTTCGGTGGAATTTGTCTTTGGCATGCTTAAATACTTATTCCTTATGACTGATCAAGACAAGTTCTTCACATTTGCGTGATCATCAGATACATGATATCATCTAATGTTGGAGAAGTGATATCTATATTCTTGACTGCTGCCTTGGGGATCCCAGAATGTATGATACCTGTGCAACTTCTGTGGGTGAATTTGGTTACCGATGGGCCTCCTGCAACAGCTCTGGGTTTTAACCCAGCTGATGCTGATATAATGCGGAAGCCACCTCGTAAAACTGATGAACCTCTCATCAGTTCATGGGTTCTTTTCCGTTATCTGGTAAACAATGCTCAAGTTTATCTCATTTTTCATCTAAGATCATGCATGGCTCTAGTTTTCCTGGTTATTCCATATCATTTTGGTTTTCAGGATGCATACAACCCTCATGTTATCATTCTTCTAATCTGATTAAACCTTGTTCAAATGACACGCTCATGACCATGTTCTTGGCAGGTAATTGGTTCCTATGTAGGGATTGCAACAGTGGGCATTTTTGTCCTGTGGTACACGCAAGCATCTTTTCTTGGCATCAATCTGGCCAGTGATGGGCATACAATCATAGAATTTTCTCAGCTTCGCAACTGGGGGGAGTGTCATTCATGGTCAAATTTTACTGCTTCTCCATTTGCAGTTAGTGGGGGTCGCCTGATCACATTCTCAAATCCATGTGATTACTTTACAGTAGGCAAAGTGAAGGCCATGACTCTGTCTCTCTCAGTCCTGGTGGCAATTGAGATGTTTAACTCTTTCAATGCTTTATCTGAAGAGAACAGCTTGTATGAAATGCCCCCGTGGAGGAACCCTTGGCTTTTGGTAGCCACAACAGTATCACTAGGACTCCATTGCCTCATCCTCTATGTTCCATTTCTTGCTGAAGTGTTTGGGGTTGTTCCACTAAGTCTCAAAGAATGGTTTTTGGTCATCCTAGTTTCTTTACCTGTAATTTTTGTTGATGAGGTTCTGAAACTTGTGGCGAGGAGGAGTAGGACAGTGAGAAAGGAGAAAACAGCATGAAGGAGTCTCTCGGTAACGGTCGGTGAAAAAAAAGCAGCACAAGAGGTTGATGGGTGTATCAAACCAAATTCTTTGATAAAATTCATTCTTTAGGAGAAAAGGCATGGTTCATTTGCAGGTGGCCAGAAATAGGTGACTTCTTACAATCATTATAGGACTAATTTTGATGTCCTTTTTAATTGCTTGACTATAAAGAAATGCTGGCTGCGTCCAAAAAAATTTATCTATAGATTAATAAAATTTATAAGTTGTGAATATTTTGATACTTGGTTTTAGGTTATAAAATAGTGGAGTTTTGTAATGCCCGCAGCATTTAACCGGTTTGTGTGATATATTTCAAGTACGTAGAACTCCATTCTTAACATGCAAAATAAGTTAATAAATGTTTGACACTTTAAAGGCCAAGCATGAATAGAAAAATTATTAAGAATATGAATAGAACTGACCCTTAACTTCCCTGGGCCTGGAGTGTCCAATAGCTAAAGATAATCATGAACATGACTGTATTGCGCTTAAGAATGTATATGGCTAATGTGAACGTTTATGATTGACTGATCTATCATCTTTTATAAACCAGCCAACCCTTTTTCCCCCAACGGAAAGTCTTCCATTTTCTTCAAGTTGATCTTGGCAATCATTTTCTAGATCAAATAGGAATCGGCACGCAGTTCATGTCTACAATTATATCATGGGGGAATCCACCATAATAATGCATACTATGAGTAGCTGTTCAAATCAAGTACAGAATGGAAATCAAATGTGCTTCTTTGAAGCTTTATTATTCTATAAACTCCATCTAGTAAAGCAAATATTTCCTCACTTTTTGAATGTGATCTATCTTCGACAATGAACTTATGAAGCTGGCCTCCATCTTCAATTAAACTATAGCCAGCCGCCTTTGTTATTTGGCCACCCTTCATCACTTTCCTGAGCTTTGCAACTCCATCCCATTGACCGGCTGATGCATAAATGTTGGAGAGAATGACATAGTTTCCTGGGTTACAAGGTTCAAGGGCAAAAAGTGACTGAGCTGCTATCCCAGCCACCTCAACATTTCCATGGAAGCTGCAAGCTCCCAAAAGAGCACCCCATACAACTGAGTCTGGTTTCATTGGCATACTTAGTATGGTTTCATGAGCTTCTCTCAATTTCCCAGCACGGCCTATGAGATCAACCATGCAACCATAGTGTTCTAGTTTCGGTGTAATGTGGAAATCGTTTGTCATCGCATGAAAGATTTGTCTGCCCTTTTCGATCAGGCCGCCGTGGATGCATGCCATGAGGAGTCCCACAAATGTTACATCATCAGGTGAGGTTCCTTCTTTCTGGCATTTTCAGTAAAATAGAAACATATCAATGTTTGCATCAGTTAGGGGAGTTGTGATTTAGGTCCTACAAAGTTCAAAAAGAAAAAGACACTACATGCAAGACTCATCAAATAATCAGCAGACCACTTGAATGTGAGTCTTCAGACAATTGAGTACATCTCTCTTTGAAGTTTACCCTATAAATTTCTCTCAGAACTCTAGAGGATCCAAATATAAGAGAGTATTGAGCGAACTCCATCATTACAAAAGCTGGGTAGACCAAAACAACTATAAAGAGACATGTGAAAGGCAAGCCATACTGAAAATTGTGCACGGCAACCATATTTAAATCTTTAACAAGTGGTTTGATCTTCCGAGGAACTTCTCATCAATTAGAAACTAGAAGCTTCAAAATTACGGTAAAAGTCATAACGATGCTGGCCATGAAGTAAAATAAGAGCTTAATAAAATAACTACTCACTAGCATTTGATCATAAAGCACAAGAGCCATAGCATATTGTCCATGAACAGCCAAACCCATGATCATTGAATTCCAAGAGCATAAATTTCTGTAACTTCCAATCTCATCAAACAACCGCCAAGCGATATCAATCTTACCACACCTGGCATACATCTCCAATATAGCATTGCTCACATATACATTCTTAAAGAATCCATTTTTTCTGGCATATGCTTCAATCCTCCGACCAATCTCTAGTGCCCCAAGATTTGCACAGGCTGGTAAAATGCTTGCTAAGGTTACTTCATTGGGCTTTAAATCCTTCTCATTTTCCATCTTCAAAAACAACTCCAAGGCCTTCTCATATTGTTTGTTCTGAGAGTAACCGGATATCATGGCCGTCCATGAAACCACATTCCTAGAAGGCATCAACACAAACAATTCCTCTGCACCCACTATATTCCCAAACCTTGCATAGCCTGCAATCATAGCATTCCAAGTGGGTACCTCTCGAACAAGCATTTTATCAAACACCTTGCGTGCAAACTCCAATATACCCATTTTAGCATACATATCAAGCAAAGCTGTGGAGGCAAACACGTCGAGCTCAAAACCCGATTTGATGAAATGGGTATGGAGGGCTTGTCCAAGGGAAGAAGACAAACAAGTGCATGCTGAAAAGAGGAAGTTGAAAGTGTATTCATTTGGAGGGCATCCCTGAAGAAGCATTTGAGAGTAGAGCGATAAGCTTTGATGTTGTTGCCCATGGAGAGAGAAGGCTTGGATGAGCTTGTTGTAGATAAACACGGTTCGCTTTGTGGGTGTATGGGTAAAGAGCAAATGTGCATATTGGAGGTTTGGGATTTCAAGTGCCTTCCCGATGAGAATTTTGGCATGGTCTACGCCATTTCTGAGAGTATAGGCATGGATTTGCTTCAGATGGTTCATAAGAGCTTTTTGGGTTTGGCCAAAAGTTTGAAACTTTATGCATGTTATGTTAACCGTTAACGGAGTTTCCACTAAATGATGCGCTGATTTTCGTTTTTGGAAAAACAAACTACGATGCTGGTGGAACCCGAATGGCTAGATAATTAAGTGAATAAAAAGCTGAAATATAATCTAGTAGAGAGTTGAGGCAAGAATCTCACTCTCAACTCACTAATAGCCAGGATAAAATCCACTAAAATTTACTTGAGCAAGGATCTCACTTAACTGAATTTAGTAGCCAGAAGGAGAATCTCCAAATTACTGAATAAATATGTATTTCTCTCATATGTTAGCTTATAGGATGGCTAACATATTTATAATGCAGAAATTACCACCCAACATGTGTAGTATTGAGTATCACGCTCTGAGATTCCCCACACTTAACAAAAGACATCTAAGTAGTATGGAAAAGGGGAAAGAGAGAACATTTCTAATACATATCTTGTTGGGAAAAATCTGCTTCGTAAAAATTTGATCTTTGTGAGCAGTTTTTTTTCAATAGAAGCGATATGTAGTTATTTAATTTTATCATGCATATTTTATTTAATAATAGTGCGTAAATTATATAGCTTCACACTATTTGTCTGTATTATTTTCAAAATGTGACTTTTTTTGAGAGACTAATGAAGATATATGACCAATAACATTGGGATGGGACACGCACATTCCATCTCTTTTTTTTTTAATTTGAAAACTAATTATACAGAAAGTATAATAACTTATAATAAAAACTATGTAAAAAAAAATAGATAAAATGAGGAAATAATGACAAAAAAAAATGTCTTCTGTAATCTTAAGAGATAAAAAATAAACAAACCTAAAATATTCAATACAAAGAATATCATGTAACCCATACTAAACAACTTATAAACAAATAAAAAAAATAATTGATAAATATCATTATTAAAATACTATTACAGTGATAAATAAAATAAATATACAATAATTAAAAATAAAATTAATATATTGTGATAGGACCGGAACTGGATGGGACATCTCCATCCCACATTTCGTCCTGAAAAAATTTTGTCCCGTCCCAAAAACTTCGAAATGATTGGGATAAGGACAAAACACAATTTAACACCTCTAATGTCTTGTAGAACTTAAATTTTGATTCAATTTTCTATGAAGTAATTCTTTAACTTCCATAATTTTTAGCATGTCAGTTGTAATGACTAAAGGCCCCTTCCTCCTTCAAGAAATTAATCAAATTATTATACTTAAATTTTTGTTTGAGGTGTACTATCGCATACTGTTTGTTCTCTTCATTACAACAATTATTTAGGTAGAAAACGTCTAGAATCTCCCTAAATTTAAGTGCCAAAATCCTTAAAAATTATTGATTAATAAAATCCTATCACATGCAGAAAACTACTGGAAATATAACATAATCTTTCTAAAACATGTAAAATAAGTTTGTGGTATTTTCCTAAATTCTGACTTTGCACGAAAACCAGGTGAAGTTTGCAACAAGACTGTGACTCGTGAAAGTCCCCATGAAACAAGGAACCATGCTATTCTCATTTTTTGAGCATTGAAAGGAACTCCACTTTCTTCAATACAGTCAAACATGCCGCCAATCAAGGTCCCAGAAAAATCAAAACAAAAGCCCAAAAGAGCAATGAGACGCTGCAACAAATTCTTCCTCATATTCACAAATAGCTAACATTGATAAGTCATGGTAAGCACCACAAGGGAAGATGAATCTTGTGCTGATTTTCACATCTTGTGCCTCTTACTATAGGAGAAGAATCACAAGGCGTCTTAATATTAAAAAGAATACAACTATACCAGAAATAAGGAATTTTTTTCCTTCTTACAGCCAACTAACAAGGCAATGCAACTCAATAAATCCCTTCATGCCCAATGATTCTGCTTTTCCATACCTCAAACTGCCCAAATTGATGGTCAGCCATGTTTGGTACAAGATCTATGAATTCATTGTCAGGTACAGCCTCATCGCATATACAGAGTTTCTGGCTTTGGAAACCTGGCCACCAGATTCAAGAACATCACGAAACTCGATTGTCTTTTCAGGTGAAACCAAGTGATGAAATGGGCAATGTTCTCAGCCAAACACTAGGCAATTTTCTGCTGAAGCATTTAGTTTTGCAACCACTCATCTCATGGAATGGAGGTTTTTTATGATCACTGTTAGCTCCCCCGTACATGAATTTGAATCAGCACTTCTCTTCAGAAGTAAGAAGACTGATCATGAAGCACATTTAGATGTGCCAATATCCTAGCCGCCTTCGATCTCATGCTACTATTACCACGCTGAGTCAAGTCAACTAGGGGCATTTGAGCTGAGGGTCCATACTTTTGTTTGTACTCGATTAACCTAAAAATCCTCTCCAAAGCATCAAGAGATTTTTCCTGCAGTCCAGGGGATGGGGAACTGAGAAATCTTATCATTGCTGGTATGGCGTTTGCTGTATCAAGCACTTTACTACCATTCTGCAGTCTCTCACCTTCAATCAAAGTCAGGAGTGCATCCAAAGAAGCCTCACATGCTCCGGGATCAGAATCCCAGAGAGTCCTTGTTAGAGGTGCCACTGCATCAGCCTCTACAAGGCAAAATGATGACTTGACAGAACAGATTCCTCCATGAACCGGGCAGCTCATTCCTGCAGGAGGGGAGAAGCACCAGAGACCCTTGTGCTTAGAAATTGGCTTGCTCAGCCCAACTGAACTCTTTGAAAATTGACTAAGACACAATGCTGAACGTTGTTTTGCCAATGTGGTTCCACATTCAAGCAACTGTACTAAAATAGTTATAATACCAGTTTCTGCTGCACTTTTTTGCCACTCCAAGTTTGCTGGGACTGTGAAACGACATAGGGCGCCCACTGCATTTTCTACCAAGTTATTCTTTTGGAGATCTTTGTCTTTCCCTTCTTGGATATACTTATAAATGATGGGCAGTACACCATCATCCAGAAACCACTGAGAGATATGGGGAATATCAGGAAGATGGCATATTATGCCCATAGCAGAAGCAAGTTCTTTTTCATCCGAAGAAGATCTAAGGATCCGTACTAAATTCTCACAACTCTTCTGGTTTACATTCTCCAGAATGCTTGCCTCATCACAACTTGCAACCAAGCATGACAGCAGTTTTACAGCACTTGCTCGTAGATCAAGGTTTTCGTTCTCACAAAATCGAACCAGTTCTTGAACAGCAGAGCACTGCAGATAAATACGAAAATTAATTTAACAACAATATATAGCAATACAGCAAAAACTGATCAGAACAGATTAATTACTTCAGGTAAATTTGGAGGCTTAAGTGAGTGAAATTTTTCTTAGAGGAAGCTTTGAAGACTGTAATCCTCAACAGTTGATGGTATAAGGCCTAGTTATGAGCTGTTTGACGGGTAAGAATAAGTATATTGTATTTTCAAACTCACAGAATCAAACATTAGTATGACATCAATGGCATGAACATTGATATACAGAAACAAATGGTAGCTCTTACATTGTTTTCAATCATCTAGGCATCCAGAAATGCGCGAGCATCATATAAATAGTAAATCTCATAGTTCAATCCCTTGAACATCTCAGGAAGTAAACAATGGAAGGTTGCAGCTAATAACTCAAGAAACTTTCATTAGAGACTACTTTTTTTTTTTCCCTGGCAAGTCATTAGAGACTTTTTTAGCACAGAGAGACCTGTAATAACCTGATCCTTTGTATGCTCAAGCCTATAGAAGACTTATCAGCAAAGTTCATGAGAAAAATGATTGAAACATGGAAATTAAAAGCGGAGATAAAAACAGGTTAAATGGTATTTGCTTTAACTAATTTTGCCCTGAGTATTCGTAGTTCATTTGCTGTTTATATTACACAGGTCACAAGGCAGGTTTCCCATTCGCGCTTTTATACCAACAATTAGCACCAATGGCGATGAGTCAAGGAATATCAAAGAATACAAATTCAAGAGATGAAAAAATCACGAATCATAACTTTGTGTTCTCCCGCATTTGAGTCAAGTAGTTTTTTTTTTTTTTGGCACACTAATCTTGATATCGTGCTTAAAAAATCAAACCGCAACCTTAAATGCCATTACCCTGTGGATTTTTATTGTCAAAGCATATAATACATATGACTAGAATCTAACAAGGGTTGTTCGCATGTGATAGAAAGTCATATCAATATGACTGGTGTCCATGAAACCCACATTATCATTATTTTTGCTTCTACATGAAGAAGAAGTTGGCTGATGACAGAAAAACTTGGTCCAAAGTTATAATTAAATGAATATTTATGCTTAGCCAAATGCAAGAAGCTTGCCGTTATTTTCATATTTAGCTTTATATCATTAACATGGTCCTTGTACAAGGTCAGTGATGATTCCTATTAATGTTACACGCCATCCTTTGACTCTGATGACCACTCCACCTATTTAAAAGACTAGAAAAACATTTGTAGCTGTAGGAGTTGGTATGTTTACATTCAGTAAGATGCATACCTCTATTAGCTTGGTCTTTATGTATGAAGCTGATGTGGTTTGACACAAGGCATAAAAGGTCTGGATAATGCTTCGCTTCACCTCAGGCCCTGAGAATCTAATTAAGGCAAAGAGGTTATAAACATCGTCATCAGATTCAAATAATAAAACTGGTGTCTGGGTATCCTGCGCAATGGTTGATTCAGCAAGTTGCATGATTATGGCAGCTACATGTTCCCACAAAACTGAGGGTGGTAAGCTTCGCTGGAAAAGAAGCCTAAATAATGGGCGCGCTGCTCCTTTTTGAATCATTTCCAGTCCGTTTTTCTTTAAACTGGATAGGTTCCGAAGAGCTCTAATGGCCATGGTTTTCACCTGAGGATCACCGTATGAGACCAAGTGAAGAAGAGGATCCAGAACACCATCTGCGAATAAAGACTCTTTATTGTGGTCGGTTAACTCCATTTCTGCTAAAGTAGTGGCCATCAGCAATTTTACATCATCTGGTCCTGCATAAAGAAAGAAATAAATAGTAAAGGGCTGCCATCAGCGCCGTCCTCTTCTATTCGTTTTGTTTGACAAGATTAAGGCACTTCATAGACTATACAATTAGAAGCAGACGTTCTAATTCTGTAAGGTATGGCGGGTAACTCAGATTTAGCCACTTTGTCACCTACACTATCTAACTGTTAAAAAAAAATCAATATTTCAAAATCTTTAAATATGAAATTTCTTGATTGAGAAATTCAACTTAAAGACAAATGTTTTACAGAGTTTCAATAGTTCGCAGAAAGTAATTCAGATTCAGTATGTTTCTATTCAAAATTCTGTCAATAAATTTCACCATTTTGCATCAAGGACATAAATACCACTTATTTAGCTTTAAATATGAGACCATAAAATTGATAAGAAATCACTTATTACTTTCAAATAAATAAATGATATTTTTTTAATACAATTATCTAAGATTTAGTACCATCAAGCCAAATTTGAGCATTGTCAAATCCAATCAGGGACAGTTCTCCCACCACAATTTATTTCATTCACCATGTTCAATTGTTCAAATGCTTAACCTTACTTAAAGGGAACCGAGTTCCTTTTCATTTGTTTGAACGCCATTAGTAAATGATATTACATTCATCCATAGAAAAAAGCAAAATGGCCTGCCTGCTAAACATGATAATATTTTCACATATACCAGAGCCTTTTTCAGCCATTTAGTCATGCTTTGGTTTCATTCCCCATTTCCCTATAAGCCAAGCTTCACAGCAACATATCAACGGTAGCTAGGTGCCACAAAGCATAGGTGCAAATGCAGTGTCATGCACAAATTGAATTCAAGACATAAGAAAAATTATTGGTGGAATAACACTTACGTCCCAAAAGATCAATTTAATAAGAGTTAGATCCCAGAAAATGTTGCCCAAAGAAATGTTGCAAATGTCAATTCAGACAATTGCAAATAAGGGAATTTCAGGTAATCAGACATTTGAGTCTCATAGGCCTCTCTAATGATTTGTGACTGAAAATCCCAAATTTGCAACTCATCTTTCAGCAAAATTTTTTGAGATGCAACTATTATTAAATTAAACTTCAGGCGCCTAACCAACATTCCTCCCAAATTGTTCTCTCAAATCCCTTACCAAAGTTGATGATTTCATACAATGTTCAGGACAATAGCAAAATCATAACTAGAGGGTTTATTCCACTATTAGTTGCACATGTTTAGGAGGATCGTGGTTTTTTTTGCTTTTTTTTTTTTTTTTTTGGGGTTGCTATCTGGGAAGATTTGCTATTCAACATATAGATATTCTCTCTAGCCTAGGGTAGTTATATACCGCATACATACCTTTCAATAGAAAAATAAGATGAACAAGAACTTAAAGGAATCATTATCATTAATATTGGAATAAAATTATGTAGGTTGAGGAATAAACCTGAGGAAAGGCGCTGCAACAGATGCTTGAAATAGTTTGCCTTTGCCATCTGCAAAACATTCTGATCAGAGTATGAAAGATTCTCCAGTAGTTCTGCAGCATCCCTGGCAGCTTGGTTATCATCACTGCTAGATATAGTCACTAATAGTAGTATGCAACCTTGAACCTTTCCAATGTATTCTCGTAATCTATCATACTTAGATAACTCCAACAATAAAGCTGCTGCCAATTTCCTTTCCGTCACACGACGTCCAAGAGTACGGACAATTGATTCAATTGCATTATCAACATTTGCAAGTCTTTCCTGCAAATTAATAGGTGTGGAGAAATTAAATATCCATGAACATAGCATAATTTGTGCAGCCAATTTTTTTAAAAAAATCATTATATAGTAACAAAATAAGGGATTTAGAAAGTAGACATAACTGTAAAGCTCATGTGTATGGTAAAACACAGTGAGAAGAAATTAAGGGCGGGAAATGACTTCAGAAATGTCAAAGGAGTATGACATGACCAAATTTAAATCAAAGTTAATAGTTCATGTCTGAAATGCTTAAGCTCAATAGTTAGTCTTGTTAACCACTGACATGGAAGGGAAGGACCCTAACTATTCTAATGTACATGGTTAATTGCTTAGAGCATTGGTGTGAACCACTTATTTCAGTAGGTCATCCCAAAGCAAACATATGAATATGCGAATGGAGATTTCAGTAAAAATAACGAGTTAGGGGGGAACTGTGGTGAGTAATCCGTGTTACATATTGAATATCTACCTGCACTGTCTTATAGGTCATTGTTGCATGATGAATCTGTCCATGAACATAAGACAGAATGGACAGTATCAATTATGAATTTCTTTTACAGGTTCTCTGAATTTCTTGCCTAAAAGAAAAATTAGTTATAGGTTTAATCTTGATGCTTGAATTACTACAGAAAAATTGTGCATACGTTCATTTATCTGACCATAAAAAGCTTAGAAGCTGTAGCTACAATTCATCAATACATCCTCCGATTGTAGGAATTATCCATTGCGTACCATTTTAAAATAGAAAAAAAAAAAGAATTAAAAATAAATAAACTCAGCAAAAGTGATTATCTATAGACGTACCTTGGCATCATCGTTATCCTTAGCCAACATGAAAAGGATGAGAAGAGCTTCATTCCTTACGTCACGGTTTCTGGAGCCAAGAACCTGGATAAGAACTGGTATGTAATTCTCCATTATCATCCATTCTCTGTGCTGATCTTTTTCTTCACACAATCCCTTCAGAGTTTCCAGACAATGCAACACTTCTTCATCCTCTCCTGCCTGGATTTTTTCTTTCATTGAGGCAATCCTGATCATAGTATTTCGATCCTTCCATTCTTCTATTGATTGTTTCAAGGTTTTATTAGGTCGCAAAACTGATGTGTCTAAAGGAGTCATCGTCAGAGGACACATATTATTTCCTTCTGCAAACCACTTTTCTATGGCACTTCTCTCAAATGTCTGCCCTGAAGAAGTTTCAACGGGATCCACCATAACATCTCGAGTTATGGGGCAATAAAATGATTGAAGAGGATCTAAGGGTTGATTTCCAAGAGATTTGCGTTTTGCAAAGTATTTCAGTTCCTTTTCCCTTGGTGATGAGGCTGCATCAGCCCTTTCAAGCAAAGCGATGATCTGATCCATTTGTATTGCTTCGGCTAGGTCCTTCCTTAGACGGGCATTTTCAACCTCACTCTTGAATTCTTCCAGTTCCTTCTTCATTGTTGACTTCTCATTTGTTATGCCGACAGCTTGTGCAATGAGAATCAACAAATTATTGGCATAAGAGCGGTCAACATTCTTTTCATGTATCCCTGACTCGATTTTGTCCAAAATCTGCTCTTCTGCTATGGCTGCCTTAAACTCAGCTTTCTGCATATTGTCACAGAGTATTTTAATTTCTTCAATTATTCCAGAAGAAAGATCTTGAGTAGCAAGAGGAATAAGTCCAAGAGCACGGCTGATTTCAGTTGCACCATTCTTTAAACGCTTTGTGATAGACCTGCAGTTCAATAAGAGATAGACCTTGTTCCTCTTGCTGCATTCTTGTGTCAGTTTAGTTGCCTCTTTAATTTCACGATTCAAAATGTCAATGGTGCGGTTAAATGTCTCAATATCACTGACTTTTTTATTCCTCAGTTCTTTTAGGATGGGTACAATTCTTTCCAAGTAAGCTGCAAGTTCATTAAAACCCTCCTTCTTCACAAGGACATCCCTAGCAGCGGCTACAAGTTCAAAAATGGAATCTAAAAGCTGAGAAATAACTTCAGTAGTAGGACCAGACGTGGCAGAAGAGACTGCATCCAGTACCATCATCTTGAGACACGGTTAGGCTATGAAGCTAAAATCGTCATTGTCCAACGAAACGCTGACAACGACACTGACTAATGTTGACAGAAAGGTTGCAGAAATTTCCCCAGAATCCTGATTGAGGAGTGCTTTGATAGCTATTTTAATTCAATTTCAAATGCCCAAGCACCTGATTCCATAATTAAAAGAGTTCATCAGAATAATTTCCCAGTGTTTTCCTAAATTTAGAATGGTATATCGGGATTCAAGTGCCCATTTGAAAGCTGATGATATTGTAAGCAAAGAAATCATACTAGATTCTTAACGAAATGTTGAAAATCTTGAGCTGCCGAAAAAGAATTCTCATTCAGAATGCTGTATCAGTAAAATTAATGGGTTCTGAACCTGCGCTCATGTGCAGCTTCGTCAAAAGAAAGTAGAGGAATATGAAGATCGTTTCCAAAAAATTAATCAAGAACCTAAATTCGCAAACTTGAAGAATTTTTTCAACAACTTGTATAACAACAAATAAGGTTTCTTGTCTATTCAACAAAATTTTCCGATACCTGGAAAGTGTTGAAGTTCTTTTGAAGTCTGAAGAACTCAATTCAGCAAAGGCGAACTTATCGGTTGACTTGACTAAGTGGCCCCTTTTTCCTTCTCTGGCCCTCACAATTCACTTATCATCATTACTTTCCCAGCTCCCAAGCAATACCGACAAAGTCATTTTAGAAAAAACTAACACTGAATCCCTCCCCTTTAGCTACGTAACAACATCATTCGAAAAACTTTACTAAATATTACACCAAAATTCAAGCTCATTAGAGGAAATGAGATCAGCAAAGCTTCTAGATTACGAATGTCATGGCAGCTATTCGAGAGACCCCATTGAGATATTCTGAGGCTAACCAGAAAAAATGAAGACTAAAAGTCAACACATCTTCAGAAAGACAGAGGGAGGGAAGGGAGAGACACCTGAGGAAGACCAGAGCCATGGAAAATCACGGCCCATCTCGGCAACGATAAGTTCCCGAGAAAACAGAGATCGCAGCTCAGAAAATGACCCCAGAAAGTGGGGGAGAGAAAGAGGGCCTTAGAAACGCATAATTTTGAAGAGAAAAATCAAACAGAGATTCCAATTGGACATGGTTGTATTAATGGTTTTCGCCTTCCATCTGTACCTGTTAAGAGAAGACTCTTTCTTGCTTGTCCAAGTCTACAGGCCTCACTTCAAGATTTTTCTTTGGTAGTCCTTCCTTGTTTGCCTGTCCGCCTTTGAGTTTGACCAGGCCCTTCTGCTTTGACGCTGTGTTGTCTGTGAGATTATTTCACCACTGCTGTTTTTTTTTTTTTTTTCTGATACTAAATCACCGCTCCATTTTTGTGTCCTCCTAAATCATCGTCAAGAAATCACTCCCATAATCGACATTGAGACTTGCTTAATTAGTATATTTGATTTGGCCAAAAAAATAAAAACTAAAAAGTGACCCTTTTATTTTTGTTCTGTGTGTTTTCAATCCTTCCATTAAGGTGTGTTTTCATCTTACAATTATAATACCGTTAACAGAAATATTAATATTAAAAATTTAAATATTAAATAAAGTTTAATTTTAAAATAATAATTATTGCTAAAAAAAAGTATCATTCAAGACAAGTAGTGTTGAATAAAACAATTTGTCCTTTTGCCTGCGTTGAACTTGTTTAATGTGTAAAAAGGTTTGAATAAAATCTGCCTGTAAGCCACCGTGATGAATTGAGCTCAGAAGGGCACGGTATGAGTCCAAAAGTGGCATTTCCATATGGCCTCAAGCTGAGACGTAATCAAAATATCAATTTACAACAGGGTTAAGACTAAAATTCATTGAAAAATCTGAGTTCAACCAAAACAAAAAGATATTATGCTGCATATAGAGTTTTTTTTTAAAAATATATTTTGGAATTTTTTTCTTAGTTTGAAAATATGGAAAATATAAATGAAGCACATGAAGGCCTGTAAAAGAGGGCGCCGGGCCCTAATTACTGAATGCTCCCTTGGTCACATTAGCACGAGCTGCCAACCAAATTACAAGCCATTTCATTTATGTGGATTAATTTATTTAAAAAAATATTTGACATTTGTGAAAACTTGCGTATAGTTCATCTAATATATTTTGATTATTATAATTTTAAATTTAATGCAAAACTCTCATAAAAATTATATCAATTTCCAAACAAGGTAAATAAAATACGCTTAACTTAGAAGATATACTCCTCCAGTCCTTTATATAGGACTTAATTATTGAGTTAGTTTTTGTCTTAAATATAAAACTCATTTCTCATATTTATCAATTTTTTCTAAATTACCCCTATAGATATTCCCTCAATCATAATCAAATAGAAGAGGAAGATGGGTATTAACCTAACTTCCTAAATACTCCCTCCGTTCCTTATTATAAGAGACAAATAACCGAAGTACGTTAATCAAAAAAACAGTTAAAATTAGTTAAGAACAATTAATGTGCAAAAAATATAATTTTTTTCCAAAAATGCCCTCATTAATAAGGAGAGAGAGCATGAGAGAGAACAATTAAATTATTAAAAGAAAGAGAAGTGGGAGGAAGAGAGAGTGTGAGTTGGAGATAATAAATATGGGTAAAATAGTAAATCAACACAAAAAAAGTAGAGACAACTTGTAAGTGTCTCTTATATATAGGAACATGCTATAAGTATCAAATGTCTCTTATAATAAGGAACGGAGGGAGTATAATCAAATTAGTGAAATGGGTCTTATATTAAGAATGAGAGGAGTACTTTAGAAAGGGTATTATAAAGAAGGAGCACCACTAATTATACTTGGAATTTGCTTCGTTTTGATAGTTCCGTCTCTTGTCTCCTTGTCTCCTTGACTCCTTGAGATGTCTATAAGAATGTTGAGAATAAAATATTTTTTTTGGTTATAATAATGACATGTTTGGTGTCAATTGGATTATAACACATCGACAAAATAAAATATAAATTGAAAGCTGACAAGTGAGATAAGAAAATCAAAGTGAAATTGTAAGTCAAATTACGCTGGAGAGATAAAGACCTAAATTTCTAATTCCACAGAGGGATATGTGATGGATTTGCAATTTGACCAATCAACACACGTGTTAAAAAATGAAAAGAAAAACTATTATGATCAAAAAGAACTATGAATTGAATTGGCCTGCTTCGATTCAACTCACTCAGCAAAAACATCAACATATTTCAATTCGGTCCGTTTAGTTTTCAAGATTTCATGCCGAACAAAGCGCATCCACCTACCCAGCTACGTGACCGGCTCTAATTATAAACAACGCTAAATCGGTAAGACGACAATAAAGGTAGATCAATTAGTTTGAAAAAAAAAAAAACTCAGTACAATTATAATCTTATATTTAGAACCAAAGGTAATAATATAAAAGATAAAATAAATTAAGATCTTATATTTAAAACTAAACCGAACTTTTTACTAACTCCTGCACCTAGGATCGAAAGAGTACTGTGTCATATACAGCACACGAATCTGCTTTCATGGTCCTCGACTCAGACTCATTCTTATGACGAATTTGGAAAGTGCATGTCAATCTTTGGCTGAACGTGTTCCATTTGTATTACCGATCTAAACCTTGAATTTAGCTTGTTAGCCTAGACAAGACCCTTCTCTTTTAGGTTCATGCATGAGAATATTGAGAACCTACCTTGATTTAAAAGTATATTTCAAAAATATATCTTTAAGTGAATTTCTAACTCGGTTGAAAATTGAGCTTGCATTTCGGTTTGCATTTTTTTTTTTAACACTTTTTCTTTCATGTTTTTGGATAGTCTTTAAAGAATGTGAAAATCTCCAAAAAAATTATTGTTAAATTTCAAAATTTCAAATCAGTATTACTTACTATATTTGTAGAGAAAATGATTACATTCAAAAAGCAAATAACAACACATTTTTGTAGTAATTTCTGATTTGAAATTTTAAAATTCACCAGTCTTTTTTTTTTTGTTGTTAATTTTTTTGTTGTTGTTAATTTTACCTTAAAGAATTACTGATCCTTTGTATTGAATATCATCGCCGTCGGGTCTTTTTTTTTTTTAGCAATATTCCCTAATTTGTTTAAGGAAATAATTAATCATTAACATGGCCAATATCAATATCAAGTGTGTAAAATCTAACACGTTGTAAACCCAGTCGCTTTTTCCTTCGTGCGAATCCGCGAGGCTTTCTTTAGTAAGAAATAGTTCATGTCCCCCTCTTCGCCAAACATATCTGTCTAGAACTGAAATGGTTCTTAGCAGTTATGGGATACTTTTGACTTTTGAGCAGTTCTAATGTCAGTTTTCGGCTTTATGCAGTCTATGCATTCAAAATGCAGCACAATTTATATATTAAGACTTGTTTCAAATGATTCATAAACAACTTTTAAATTTTAATTTATAAAATACAAAGCAAATACGTGTGTTACACACTTAAAAGCACTTAAATAAACATATCCAAAGCAAACATTTGCCATGTTTAATCCGCCCATGCATTTACTTGGTCTCACTCCCAACTTAATCTACAATCTAGAATTTGCTCCAGCACAGAATGACAGAAGCAGGTCTAAGTTAAGCCTGTTGATCTATACAGAGAAACGAGCTATGCCTTGGAATAATAAGATGGACATCAATATTGAACAAAGCGTACCTGCTATTGCAGCATTTAGCAAAAGCACAGGACAGTATTAATCGAATGCTGATTATATCCCTTGTAGATATTAGTTTACATACACAAAAAACAAACCATATCATCTCCATTTATTATTATCTTTTTGGTTCAAAGGCACCTATTTGTCATATCAATAATTCAGTATCACTAGTTGAAGTGATAAGCCACAGGCACTATATAATCTGGATATCGAAAGGAACAAATATCAAGCAGGGAAGAGTTTTGTAAATTACAACATTTTTCCTAGTTTTTTTTTTTTTTTCACACAGCAAACGAGGGCAAATTCTCATGAACCAAGTTCCTCACCTTAACCTTCAAAGCCCCACTCATTTTCTGCACATTCTCAGCAATCCCAAACAGTTGATCCTCCTCTATCTTAGTTGCTGAAGAAACCAAGACAACCTGCGTTCCACAAAGCTCATCATAAATCCTCTCGAATTCTTCCAACACTTGCTTCACAATGCCAACCTTGTTCTTCTTTAGCAGCATCTTCACCAACACCACCAGATGCCTATGGAACCTCCCCTGTTCTAACACTGTCCTCACCATGGCTGATTCTTTAAAGTTCACATTTTTCAGAAACCCCAGAAGCCTCTGAACATCCCTTTGAACCAGGTGAAGAGAATCGCTGCTTTGAGCTACGTCTATGACTGCTGCAGCATACCCAGTAGCAGGATTGCGATAAAAGATTGGATTTTTGGAAGATGTGGTATTGGAAGAGGAAGAAAAGACCAGTGAAGGAAAACCCTTGTGAGAGAACGGCTTGGTTTTTGGGGTTAAGTTAGGTTTAGAAGAGGAGGAGACATGGGGGTGAGGTTGTGGAGGGAGGTTGGGTGATGAACAAGGAGCGGTTTTGAAGTGATAGAAGTCACGATGAGTTGAAGGAAGGGAAGGGACTTTGAGGGTTGAAACAGAGCTTGAGAAGGTATCCATGGAGGAAAAGAGAGGTGGAGAGAGACCCGATTTTGGGGTTTGGATTGTTATGGAAGAAGAAATTCAGACTCGAGGGGATAGGTTCCGGCCACGAAGTCCAATGGCGGTGGGGCTTACTTGAGAGCAACCATTTTCTTGAAATCTCTGTGGTTCAATTATTGTCTGTTTAATGTAAAATTCAAGATGGAGGAGTTTCATCTTTTATGACGTGTTAACTACTCTTAAATGTTGAAGTTTTTTGTTGGGAGACTATCTTAAATTATTTTAGACTAACCTGAAAGTCTAAAAAATATTTGGATAAAAATAAAATTATAATTTTAAAAATACTCTTACAGTATACGAAATAAATAGGTAAAAAAATTTATTTTAATTTAAAAAAAATACTTCTAAAAAGTAATTATGGAATTATCCAAACACCCTCCAGGACATTTTAAATTCTTATAAATAGAATTAAGGGAGTATGTTCTTTTACCATTTTTTCCGTATTAATTTTCTCCTGTCCTAAATTAAAAAAATCCTTTTTTTTATGTTCAAAATGAGAGGGTTTCCCTTTTTTTTAGGGTTAGGGGCTTTTTTGTGTGGTTCCGGCCCTTCCTTTTTAAAGTCCAAGAAACCGCAAAGGCAGGCTTGCAAATGTGACCCAAATAAAAGCCCAAAAACTTTCGTTTTGGATTTTCTTTCTTTAGTCGTGAGCTTTCCGATTGCAACCCACTTGTCAATGGCCCGATGACCTGGCCGAAAATGAAATCACCACATGCAGCTTATAAATCACAACAACCATGCAATCTTCGAAATAAATTAGTACTATTCTTCACATAAGAGTTAATTTAATATTTAATTTTAATATTAAATATAAGATTTCAATATATTTTGTCTCTTATATTTATTCATTTTTTAAGGATAGTTCTTGTAGTAATTGCACATATTAAATGTTTCATTAAATGATAGTTACTTTTAACTAATACACGTGATTAATAAGAGTATTTCAGTAAAGACAACGTCTATTTATTACAGATAACTAATTTAACTAATTTTTTTAATATACTCAAATTAACTAACTAGTTTTTATTTTAAGAACCCAAGATAGTAAGATATTGTATATCCAGTTGTTAATATAAAATCTAGTTTATAATTTAAATTTATGATAATGATAAATTATAGTACCTTCTTTCTGTTGTCCACTATCATGAATGTGTGTGTATGCAACTCACCATATCTAAGATCTAATTAATATTTATACTCTGACACACAAAATTGATTCAACTTTTCCCCAACCCAACTCTAGGAAAAAATGATATTTTCAATTTGTGAAGAACTGGGGTACAAGACTTGTGTGCTGTACAGAGTTTAGAAAATGAATTGTATTATTATTTATGATTTATAAGTATCATAATGATATGTCTCAATTTTTTATTATTTTATAAGTGATAAAAATGGGAAGGTGTTTCACTCTCTCCATCAAAGTATGGTTCACCCACTAATAGTAGGGAATACGGCGTTTTTGCTCTCTCTTGAAAGTCGTGCACACCTTTCTCATGGACGATCAACTCCACCGGAAAACTCCACCGGACCGGCCTTCGGATGCTCTCACATGTGGTAGTAACAAAAAGAAAAAACAGGGGCTCTTAACCCAACAACCATCAGACACTCAGATGACAGAAAATGCTGAAACAGGGGAGGGGGCTGATATAACCCAATCCATGGAATATGACTGCGGAGAACCAGACACCAATAGGAAGACAGGCAATTCGCAAGCCTCATACAAAGATTCCCTGCTAGGATTCAATGGAATAGCTAACTGTGGGGGAAGCATGGAAGATGAGGAATTACTATCAGACATTATAAACAGAGAGTGGGATATCCCCGAACCATCAGAGGAGGTACAAGAGCTTATGAAGCAATATCCCATTGTCCCAATCTCAGCAGAAGAGTACAGTGAATGGTGCAAACCATGGAATGCCGCCCTGGTAATCACCGTGCTTGGTAGAAGATACAATGTTTACAATCTAAAAGACCACCTCAGCCGCATTTGGGGGACACCAGATTTTGATATAACTGATCTCCCCAATAACTACTTCATTATCCGATTCCCTCCAAAAGATGGGTGGGTGCAGATCTACCAGAAAGTACTATATGAGGGACCATGGGTCGTGCAACAACATAGTATCCTGGTGCAGCGTTGGAATCCCAACTTTGACCCATACAACAACCCGTTGGGAAAGATTGCTACTTGGGTTCGCATCCCGAACATCCCAGTTCAATGTTATAACAAAGAGTTTATCACAAGACTGGGAAATAGAATTGGGAAAACCTTGCGTGTGGATATGGTCACTGCATCGGTATCTCAAGTTTCCGTAGAAGCATCGAAAGTGGATAGGGGGAGGTATGCAAGAGTTTGTGTTGAGTTAGATTTACAGAAAAAACTTGTACCCAGGATTGTGGCAGCAAATGCAGCGTACCATATCAAATATGAGGGTCTAAACCTCATCTGCTTTGCCTGCGGACGGTATGGCCATAGACGTGAGAGCTGCCCGTGGACTTATGCGAACCCAACTCCAACAAGCTCCGGACACCAAATGCCTGTGCAGAAAGTAGTCTCACAAGCGACACCGGAGAAGAAACCACCCACCACCGGAGAAGAGTTTGGGACATGGATGATAGCGGGAAAACCAAGTAGAGCTCGAAACCCAAGGAGAAGTTACCCTGCTGGGAATGGTAGTGATCAGAAGAAAGGACCTAAAGCTGTCTAGAGAGATAAAATTGGCGGTCACAACTCGAGATTCAATGTGCTGGCAGAAATGACAGAAGATGAAGGGGCTATACCAAAAGAAAATCACTCTAGCATGGAATTAGGACCGGAAGAGACTGGTACAGGGAAAGAGGAGGCAAGAACCTACAAAGAAAAAATTGGGGCTCACAATCCTAGAGAAGGAAAGTCAAATGTAAAAAGCAAGGGATATGGAAAAAACCTACAATTTAAATCGGCGGGAAAAGAAAACAAAAAGCCAGCTGATGCAAACTTGAAAGGAAAGACCCAAGTGGAAAAGAAGGAGAGAGAAGAACGAAGCCTTCCTAATGGATCCAGCAGTGTAAATGGACAGCCCAAAGGAAGGGTGGGCCGGAGAGAACATGTGATAGTGGAAGGCAACTTAAAGCAATTAGGCTCAAGTCCAATTTCCTCAGCCAAGAATAATACCCCTGACACCATCAATGGCCTTTTATTATTAGAGGGTCCAGTGAACACCTCAACGCCATCAACTTCAACTATTTCGGGCCAAGCTGGGAATCATAATGAAGCACAAGTCCAAACCCTGCAGATTACCCCATCGTTGGCTTCGGAGAGGGTCACAGAAATAGAAAGGAGAGGAATTGACAAGATGGAAGTTAACAACACGTGGGATGACGATGATCCCATCGAAGAGTAAGTCTTCATTGTCTCTACTCTTTTTTGGGTTATAATGATCATCGCCTGTTGGAATTGTAGAGGTGCTGGAAACAAGACCTTTCCACGCATCATTAAAGATATTGTCAAAGAAAACAATATTGATGTTCTGTGTCTGCTAGAGACTAGGATCAGTGGCAACCGAGCTGAGGGTGTCATTAGAAAGTTGGGGTTCACCAATTGGATAAGATTAGAAGCGTCTGGTTTTGCAGGGGGTATTTGGGTCCTTTGGAATGAACTAAATACTCAGGTTAATTACATTTCCTCCACTACCCAACTCATCCACTGTCAAGTAGCGGCTGTCAATTCTGTCGAACAGTTTGCTGTAACCTTTGTCTACGGAGAGACAGTAGCTATAAGAAGAACTGAGTTGTGGCATGCTATCCGGCACCTAGCACAGGATATGCCTAATGATTGGATGGTGATTGGTGATTTTAACTCCTTTATGGACCCGGCTGATAAACTTGGAGGAGCACCGCCACCTTTGAATACTATGAAACAATTCTCAGATTGTATCTCGAAAGCTGGGCTGATTGAAATTCCGGTTGTGGGTGAACGATTTACTTGGGAAAAGCAAGCTGTGAAGGAAAGACTGGATTGGGCATTCTGCAACTTTGATTGGGAGTTGAGCCATCCTAACCATAAATCTCATCACAAGCTTAGATACAATTCTGACCACAGACTTATTGTTGTTACTAGTGGAAACTTCGACACCAGAACCAAAAAGAACAGCCAATTCAAATACTACTCAGCTTGGGCAATGGAAGATAGTTTCGCTGAAGTGGTTAAGAACGCTTGGGAAAATGAGGAGTGGTGCGCTGGAACTATTAAATTTAAGGAGGAGGCTACCAAATGGAACAAAAAATACATGGGCAGTATTCCTAAACGGAAGCGTGCTATTCTGAAAAGAATCGAAGGCATTGATCGAGCAAGACAGAATAATAATGCCAATGGTCTGTTTCGTTTGGAGAGAGAGCTCTGGCAGGACTACACTAAACTAGCAGCCCAAGAAGAACTCATATGGTACCAGAAATCTAGGTGCAAATGGATACAATGGGGAGACAAAAATACACGATTCTTTCATGCCTCAACAATTATAAGAAGAAAAAGAAAGTGTATAGAAGCCATACAAGATGAGAATGGAGACTGGATCACTAATCACGAGGCCATAAAGAAACTGGCTCATGAATTTTTTCAAACCTTATATACCAAAGACTGCCCAGTAAGTGACTCCTCAAGGTGGATTGCCCAATTCCCTCCTATCACCCCCTCTGATTTCGCTAACCTACATAGGGAGGTGACCGACATTGAGATAAAAAATGTTGCTTTCATGATGGGGGCATTCAAAGCCCCAGGACCGGATGGATTACAAGCCCATTTCTTTCAGACACAATGGAACGTCATAGGCCACAAGGTGTGTGCGTTCATCCATGAAGCTTGGAAAGATCCAGGTAAGATTAGGGATATCAATCATTCCCACATTATTCTGATCCCGAAAATTGACAAGTCGGTAACCATGAAAGACTTCCGGCCCATCTCTCTTTGCAATGTTAGCCTCAAGATGATAACAAAGATAATAGCTAACAGACTCAAGAGTATAATGTGCTATCTTATCCAACCACAACAATGTAGCTT